GGAAGGAAGGAAGGAGGGAAGGAATGAAGGAAGGAGAGAAAGAGGGAAGGAAGGAAGGGAAGGAAGGAAGGAGGGAAGGAAGGAGGGAAGGAAGGATGGAAGGAAGGAGGGAAGGATCAAAGGAAGGAATGAAGGAAGAAAGGAAGGAAGGAAAGGAAGGAGGGAGGGAAGGAAGGAAGGAAGGAGGGAAGGAAGGAGGGAAGGAAGCAAGGAAGGAGGGAAGAAAGGAAGGAAGCAAGGAAGGAGGGAAGGAAGGAGGGAAGGATCAAAGGAAGGAATGAAGGAAGAAAGGAAGGAAGGAAAGGAAGGAAGGAGGGAGGGAAGGAAGGAGGGAAGGAAGGAAGGAAGGAGGGAAGGAAGGAAAGAAAGAGGGAAGGAAGTCTCTAGAAGAAGTGAAGGGACAAACCGATGGAAGATGGCCGCCAGCAGAGTGTAACTCATTGCTGATGTCGTCATGGTGACGTGCTTCGTCAGCTTGTTGCCGTGGTGACACTGCGAAGCTGCACAGAATCACACTTTACCCACAATGCACTGCTAACAGCAGGACATAGTTCAGATACAGTTCCTGACCCGATCGCTACTGAGCATGTGCGAAGGAAACAGGATCTGTCAGTAGTTAGCTATTTCAGTTATCGGCTGTGGAACAAATTATATTTAGAGTAAAACTTCAGCATTAGCTAAAGTCGCATTAATAGCTGCGTTTCTTTTGGATTGCTGCGATCTAAAAGGATTTCACTTTCACTGTGCAGCCAGCTAAATGCTACAACGGGCATTGTTAGCTCATGCTGATGCATTTATACACTGTTCTGATTTTATTCAAGTTAGCATTACCTCTAGCCTCAGCTAGCCTCACTACATCAGAAGTGAAAACAACTTAAGCTGTGTGACACTAACGAATATTAGCTACGTTGCAATAATCACTGACTACGAGCAACAAGTAGGGATGAGTTTTTCATTATCTGTTTATCTTGTTTGCTCGTGACGTCACGTCGCTGCGTTCCTGTGGCGAACTCCAGAAGGAGGACAGGAAGTGATTTTATACGTTTCAAACTCTCTGAATGCTCAAATCGATCAAACCAAGAACCACAAAGAGCTTTTATTTAGAGACGTTGTTGTATATATACATAAGGAGGAAAAAACGTCTGTGAGTTTGTCTGTGGAAGCAAACATAGCCTATTTCATAATCTATATCCGTTTAAGCTTTATTTATTTACACCACATTATTGATGTTGGTTAGTTTGCTAAATTAGCTTTTTACTAATGTTAGCTTTCAGATGTAACTAGTTAGCTAATGATTGATGTTGATTAGTTAGCTAGGGTTTTTATCTGAAGCAAAACTTGAGCTAACTAGCAATTGATATAGACTAGTTAGCTCGTTTGCTAGCAACAAATTGACAAAGAACGCCGTAAAAGATGTAAGTTCTTTTGTGGAAGCAAACGTAGCCCATTTAAAAAAATTATATTAGTTTAAGCTATATTTAAACTATATATTTATAATATTTCCAGCACTTCACCTCGCTGTCAGACTCTCTTCAACGTCACCAGACTCACAGAACAGTTTCTGGTCCACCGCTGCCTCGACCAGCAGCCACTAACGTTAGAGACGATAGTCACACTAACATTATCAGATGTAACTAGGTAACTAATGATCGATGTAAAATCAGATAAAAGAGACGTACAGGATACTCAGCTAGCTCAATCCTTGAAACCAGTTTGTGACCAACAAGTTGACCGACATCGAACTCCAGTACGCAACCGATAACAAACGTCTTCCTAATGTGAAGTCTGGTCCCTGCTGAAGGTTCAGTGTGATCTGTCAGCTTCAGTGTGATGAGTTTTATATGGCTGCTGATGATGTGTGGAGGATTATATTCTCAGATTTTATTAATGTGTATTTTTATTCTCATAAATGAACTGAAAAGACTTTCTGTTTTTTATTGGACTGCAAAGTGTTTGTTCAGTGTGTTCAGCTTTTCTTTTTTTAAATGTTTTTTAAATGACAGTTTGTTAATCAGACAGTCCGGTGGTGTTTCTGTCTCGTCTTCATTTTTGTGTCTTCTTTTAGTTTTTCCTTCCTGCAGTTTGGACAGTTTCCCAGCAGTTAAGGGCTTTTTGATTCCACGCCTGGATTCCCCAGAAACCTCCTCCTAAGACGCTGAGAACTCATTTGCGTTCAGCTGAGAAACACAAACTCTGTCTGAACCCTCATTTACCTCAAATAAACAATGGAAACAAGCTGCTGTCTGACTCTTTCATCACACACTTATTTTTATTCTTTTCAGTCTTTAAACCGGCTCACAAACACAGGTTTATTTAAAAAAAGGCTCAGTTATGATCTAAAAGAGTTGGACACTGGTTAACCCTTCCTAAGCTCCGCCCCGTTTTGCTCTGTGCTCCAATCACAGTTGAGCAAGTTTCGGTCAACTTCCTCCTTTCCTGTACTTAGATATGCTATATGCTAGGCTAATCTATGTTGAAAATACACATTTTGAAGATGGTTAAAAGATAAAAGAGAGTATAGTCACATCTTTAGATAGCTAATGTTAGCAAAACACTAGCTAACTAGGTAGCTAACCTATCTTTCTCGCTAATTAGATAGTGTTTTGCTATCAGGTGTAAATAGCTGGTTAACAAGTAACAAAGATTAGCTATTTAGTTATAGTGTGATAACTAAATAGCAAATATACATATATGTAGTCACAGCTTAGGTTAGATAATGTTAGCAAAACATCTAATGAGCCAATTTACATCAATTGTTTCCAAGCTAATGTTAGCAAAACACTAG